GGAAACAAAGTCGTTGTTTATGCCAGGGTAAGAATAGCTTTGAGTAGCACTTTGTCGAATTCAGACTTTGTCTGGTATGCACAAAATCTCATGTCCTATTTCTTTCTGAAGATACATATATATATTGTTTACAACAGGTCAATCATTCACAGAGATCGAGAGAAACACCTCTTAAATCATGGGTTTTATGCGAGGAGGATKSCTCAGTAATGTTTGCTCACTGTACGTGTATGGCGGGACTCAGCGAAGCGTGCTCGCATGTTGGAGCTGTTCTTTTTGCGATTGAAGCGGGAGTCCGAATGAGGGAATMCACAACGTGTACAGGTCAGCGAAGTAAGTGGGTAATGCCAACTTATGTTAAAGAGATCCCTTTTAAAGAAGTACGGGAAATCGACTTTTCTTCAGCAAAGACAAAAGACGATCAACTACGCGAGAATGAAGTCATGCCTTCTGCTACAATACAAGAACCATCTCCACGTGGTAGAATAATCCCTAGGCTTTCGGAAGATGAACAGCAGGCTTTCTACAGGAACATTGCCAAGGAATACCCAAAAGCTGTTATCCTGTCATTGATCAAGCCACACAACTCTAATTTTATACTACAGAGCCTGACCAACCTGCCAAAACCACTCAATGAAACTCTGTGTTCCCCTGATTGTGAAGGACTTGCCTACCCAGAACTCATCACAAAAGCACAGGAAGTGATCTCAAAAATGGCAGTCTCAGAAGAAGAATGTAGAGCTGTAGAAAAATCTACTAGAGAACAATCTTCATCAAAAACATGGTTTAGCCAACGAGGAGGTAGAATAACTGCCTCAAAATTGAAGGCAGCATGCCACACAAATCCAGATAAGCCCTCGAAAAGCTTAATAAAGATGATATGCTATCCTGGAATGCATAAATTTTCAACACCTGCCACTAGATGGGGCTGTAAAATGGAAAAAAAGGCTAGGAATGGCTACTTTTCTATTATGAGCCAACAGCATGAGAATCTTACGGTTGCTGACAGTGGTCTGCATATTAATCAAAGGTGGCCCTACCTGGGAGCATCTCCAGATAGCATGGTTGAATGCAAATGTTGTGGAAAAGGAGTGGTGGAAATAAAATGCCCTTACAAACACAAAGATGACTACTTGTTAGTAGCCTCTATGGTGGACAAAAAGTTTTGCCTTTCACAGGCAAATRCTAAATTAACTTTAAAAACTGACCATGAATACTATTACCAGATTCAATCTCAGCTTTTCATATGTGATGTGGAATATTGTGATTTTGTTGTGTGGTCACAAAATGACATCCACATTGAAAGAATCTTGCCAGATGCTGTGTTCTGGACCGAAGCTACCATGAAGGCATCATTGTTTTTTATTAAAGGAGTTCTGCCAGAACTTATGGTAAAATGGTTTACCAGGCCTCACAATGCAACACAACTGGCTACTGTACCAACATCTATTGGAAGCACAGAAGAAATGGATGATTCTGAAGAAGAGGAASGGCCATGGTGCWTCTGTAAAACTGACATCGAGGACTCCATGCTTATTGGATGTGACAACATGGATTGCCCTGTACAATGGTACCACATGTCTTGTTTAAATATAACAGTTGAACCTGATGGGGAATGGTTTTGCCCAAGCTGTGAAAAAGGATGATTGGTAACAATATAGTACTGTAATGAATTAATAAATAGTAATAATGATCAACTATAATACTCAAGACTTCTACTCAATACTTATTTATTCAAGTCTGGTAAAAACAAATGAACCAACAGACAAATTTCACCTTAGTACATACATGCATGTAGTACCAAAAAGTAATCAAGATGAGGCATAGACAATATATATATATACAAGTGATGAGTGACTAATCTTTTTGTCTCATCTTGGTTTTTTAATGTAT